GGTGCTACGGCATGACACCAGCCCGCCGCTGGTCTGCGGAGAAAGCCAGCCCGTGGCTGGGCGCACATCTGCGCTGCGTCTGGGCCCAACGCCCAGGGGCTCCAGCGCTTGCGGATGCTCGGGATGCGGTTTGCCAAGGAGGAGGCTGACGTGGGGTAGATGCTGGTGGCTGCTCAGCCGTCCTGCCCCGCTCTCCCGCAGGTCATTGTCCAGCGGTCGCTCTCTGCTAAGAGCCTGAGTCACGCCAAGGCCGGCTCCATCTTGGCCAGCTACCTGAAGATGCTGCCCTTGTTCGTTATCATCATGCCGGGGATGATCAGCAGGGTCCTGTACCCAGGTAAGCGCCACGCGGACGCAGAGCTGGCAGGACGGGTATTTTGCCTGTCGCTAAGGGGTCAGTGGGAGGGGGGCTTGTCTGGAAACCCCTGCTCTGCACAGACCGGGAAGGAGAGGGACGGGAGAGGACCCGAGTGTCCCGGCGCTCATCAGCCAGCATCAGCCAGCGCCACTGCCCGCCATTAGCCGCGCAGCTGATGCGGACAGGGTTGCGTGTGTTTAGGCAAGGCAATGCTCCAGGGGTAACCTGGGTGCTGCCTTCAAAACGCCACGGAAAACATGACGTTTGCCCTGCGTGAGCCTCCGCCTGCGTTTTGGGCTACGCTGTGCTTGGGACCAGCACGTCAGAAACGTGGACCCAGAACAAAAATGTTTGGTGGGGGTTGACGGTGATGCCTGTCGGATTCGAGGTTTCTAGAGAGTTAATCAAGGCTTGCGCTGGTTTATTATTTTTACACATGGCAGAAACTACTCTCTGCACATTTCCATCAGCTGAGCGCTGGCTTTCCTAACCCTGATGGCGTGTTAATTATCTGCCTTTCATCAAAGAGACAGAACAAGTTACTGCAGGAACACCGACATACCCAGCCACTCCGAGCGAGGTGGCACCCGGGACCTGGGTCACAGAGCATCAAAGGGCTCAGTGCTCCTCGCCCTGCACGGCTCCGCAGGGCGTGAGGGGGTATTCGATGTGCGAGGATTAAAACCCTGCCCTGAGCTCCGTGTCGCTGACTGGGAAGGGAGAAGCTAGTGGGCTCTGGGCTAGTAAATTTAATTCCCTGTAAATACGGATTAGGTGCTCAGCTGGGGTAACCTCAGGTGGCTTCAGTGATTTCAGCTGCTGATTTAGCCCTGGGGGTTTAAATGCCCTGAAAACAGCGGGTAGGGAGCCTTGAGAAACCAAAATGTTTAGTGGTGTTGCAAGAGGCTTCAGCACTTGGGTGGAAATAGGGGATTGACCTTGCGCTCCCCCTGTTTGGATGGGGTGATGCTCCTGCAGTGGGTTGCTGGCATGCACCTTGTTGGGGTGACAAGGTCTGGCGTCGCTTGTGGATCCGCCACGAAGCTGCTGACTGCAACACTCGCCCACAGAGGTTGCCGTCCCTGTTTCTCCGCTGCCTTGCTCTGCCTAATTATGTGTCCGAGTGCTTTTGCTTTGATGCTAATCACCTTTGCAAGGAGCTAGAAAACAAGCCTGAGAAGGACATGCCTACATGCACAGTCTGTCCCTGGCTGGGCATGATGCTACTGCTGATGGGCTGTGGGATGGCCACAGGGCTCCGTCCTACAGCCCGATGCCATGGGGTAATCTTTAATTCCCAAAAACGTCCCCTTTACCAGCTGTTCCCATTGCATTCCCAGGCACTAAGAGCTGTGGCATGGCCACCACCTTCCTGACCAAGAGCACCTCTTGGGTGACTCCTACCATCACCGCGTGTAGGGCGTTATTCTCCTCTATGGGAAGTCTGATCTCAGCATCTAGGACGCGACACCAAAGCTAGGAATGACACCACGCCTTGGCTGAGCTGGCTGGGTCACCTCCAGGCTTGCAACCTTTGTTGGGTGGAGAAACATAGGGAAGGTTATAGCAAAACGTCCTACCTGTGTAGCACTGCTGGGGTAGGAGCTGTTGCCATCCAGGATGGTGCGGGGCAGCACACACCTAATCTCCACGGCGTTGCTCCTCCTCTTCGTCACATCCTCCACACGGACATGCTTCAGGGATGGGAGGCTCCCCAGGGGGCTGAGGAAGGTTCCCCGGCTGATGTGAGGGTCACTGAGCTTCCTCTGCATGGGAAGGATCTCCCCATTGTGGGTGACATCCGAGTTGGTTCGCCGGAGCGGCCCGTACCGATCCCTCACCTCAAAGTACTCGTCTGAGATGGAAGAGGCGTTGGAGCGGCGGTAGCTGTGGTCAGCAGAGCTGCTGGAGTAGCTCTCCTGGTCACTGAGAGTGATGTACTCCTCCTCCTCCTCCTCCTCTTCCCCCAGCCCGTTGAGGGCACAGGGAGGCCCTTTGTCCTCCCGTGGCCCTGCCACTGGCTGGAGATGGCAGGTCTCCACTGAGGCTCCGTTGGGGTTCTCTGGTTCCTGCTTCACATCCATGTGGTCGGCCGGTGGTGGTTGTGTGTCACCCTCCAGGGCAGTGCCACTGTCACAGGGTGTAATGACTTTGGTCATGATGACACCAACAGGGATGGTCCTTGGCTTTGGAACTGGGGGTTTGATGTCCTCCAGTGTCTCCTCTGGTGGCTTCAAGCGGTGGCCCAAGGGTGAAGTGGCAAACGTTCCTGCTTGCTTTGTTGTCCAGCTGGCGCCTTCGAAGGGGCTGGTAGCGGGGGCTGCAGGAGCTTCCATGGGGGTCTGTAGGGTCTGTTTTTGGCAGGGGGACACCAGAGGTGGCTCTTGGTCTGAGTTTTTCTTGGCCTCCATCTCCCTGTTCTTCAGCATCTGCCGGTGCTGGGCACTGGCCTGGGAGACGTCACAGACTTTGATGCGGTTCATCTGCGAGAGCTTCACGTTCTTTATCTTGGGGTCGATAATGTTGATGTAGCCCAAGACTTCGCTTCCGGGCTCGGGGTCAGGCTCGACCCAGGTGGGCAGATAGTCAAACATGTTGGCTTTCTCTAGATTCAGGAGGCCGGGGTGGATGAGCAGGGAGAGGTCTGCCATGTCGCCGTGCCTGTCACCCACGTGGCCCTCAGGCAGGGCTTTGCCTTTGTTGTCTGTTTTCTGGTTTTTGTCCTGGTTCTCGGATGAAGTCTTGCTGACCTGGTCAGCGCTCTTGGCCTTCACCAGGGCGTATTTAGGGTTTATCAACTTCTTCACCACGGCATTGGCGGGGGTCACCGGCACGACGGAGGGCAGCGTTACGGGCTCGGGTTCAGGCTCTTCACCCATGGAGATGGACTTGAGGCTCACCCCCTTGGACATGAGGTAGAGCTCCTGGAACTGCTTGTCGAATGCCTCCACCACTTGGCCCGAGAGGACCGTGATGACATTTCGGTCCGTCCTCGCCGCAGACCAGGTGAAGCTGGAACAGAAACGCATTGGAAACCGTCTGAGCGCTTACTGGTAAATAACACGCCTCTCCCCAAGCCTGGCTTTCCCCAGGGGATTGATGGTGCTAGCAGGGACATGATCTCGCTGTAAACATTAATCATAATGAGATCGAAGAAACAGCTCTCGTCCCACGTTAGAATGAAGGGTTGAAATCTTGAGCACACTGAAACTTGAAGTAAAAACCAAAAAGTATTCGCTGTGGGCCAGTTAGTTTTTCACTTTAGCGTTGGCCGCTTTTCCTTTCTCAGTTTGGGTTAGTTAAGAAAAGCGACTCATAAATGGATGTGGTTTTTGTTGCAGCCAGAAAGTAGGAAATGTTTCAGTTCCCTGTTTATGAAACTTGTCTTTTAGAGCTGAAAAGCTTACCGAGACTGATCTATTCCTCCTAATGGAAGTTTTCACTTGGATAAATTGGAAAATACTTTGGGTAGGAAATGTTTAACTGGAAAAGCTGAGGTTGACGTGAGAGCTAGGACTGGCTGCGGTTTGGTGCTTTTGTCCTTCCTTGTGCTCATCACATCCATTGGCAGAAGCACTTGGTGTGTCCCACGACCTCCGAGAGGGAGGGTTGTCCTAGACCTGGCTGTGGGGTGGTGGGGACCCCTTGGGTCCCACTCCAAATCACAGGCTGGCCTTGCAAAATCATCTCCCAGTTTAGGAGGAAGGGAGCAAGACTGGCACAGGGCCCTGGGGCCATGCTGGGCAGAGACCAGGCCTTTGACCAAGGCCTCCATGGGGTGGGCAAGAGGAGACATTGCTGGTTACCTGTAGGATCCACACACAGCCCGGTCCCCGTCCACAAACATGAACTTCTGGGCCAAAGCCCCTTTGAACTTGGTGGCTGAGCGCGTGAAAAACTCTGTCCCCCCCGTGCTCCGGACTCGCAGGTTCTGCAAAGCAAAGGCAGAGGCGTGAGTGGGAGCAGGAGCAGAGGGCTGGTCTTCAGAGCATCGTTCACCCCTCCATTGGTGACCCCATGGATGCTCCACAGCCCCTCTGAGGAGTGGGAAACGCTTTTCATGGCCAGCTCGGAGGAGGCCACAGCGATGCGAAGATAACGTGACTTGCCCGAGGTCACGCAGCAAACCATGCACTTGGCTTCAGGAATTTCCTGCTTTGCCCATGCGTTGGGCAGCGTTTTCTACCTCTCGGACTCAGCCGCTGCCTGCGTCCGCGGGTGAGCAGCGTGTGGTAGTGCTGCCGAATGCTTCCCTTCTCCTGCGATCTACGCAGATGCCACCGTGGGAGAGGTCTTGCTTCACCTCCTCCCCAGCGGGAGATGTAGAAGGGCTTTCAGGGGGACGTGGTGACCCCAGGACAGCTCAGTGGGCTTGTCCTCCACCAGGCTCTCCCCTCGCTCTGCTCCTGAATCTGAGCGCCTACCCCTGCTTTTAGGGCTGGGTGGGGAAAAACAAACAAAAAAAACCGACAGTGGGGCAACATTTTTTCATCCCCGGGAAACGAAACCCAGGGCACGTCCCGCAGCAGGTCCCTGCGGAGGTGGCCGGGGAGCTGGGTGCCGTCCCCGCAGGGAGCCCGGGCGCCGAGCGGCAGCCCTGGCTCTGGGAAAATGGTTTTTGTCGTCGGTCTGGCTCACGCCTCTGCGTCTCCGTGGAGGGCAGCAGCACATTTTTGCAGCTGAGCAGATAGCATCTTTCCCTGCAAATGGTCTCCCTTGGGTGGGGAGAAAATATTTTTCTTATGAAAGTACCTGCATTCCTCCTGTTTCTGCCGGGATGTTGGTAATGCCATTGCTAAAGGCACCGCGGCGTCACTAGGTCGTGCCCTCCATGGTTTTGGTTTTTTTTTTGTGTGGTGTAAATACCAGAAGTATTTGTCTTCCCCACCTCCAGCCTTCCTCATCTGCTCCCCTGGGGTCTCCTCTCTCCCTGTAGACCGCGACCTGGCGCAGCCCTAAGCCCGGGTACAAGCCGAGCTTGGGCACCGCTGGTCCCCGCTCCCCCACGCCTGGCAGGAGGGACAGTGATGCAACGCTGGGCGTAGCGTGATGCAAAAGCAAAGGTTTTCCTGACCGGGTTATCCAGGGAAGTTTTACACACTGAGTGGAGAAGTTTGGGGTTTTTTTTGGTGCATTTGATTTTTATTTTTTTTTCCCCTTAGCGTTTGCCTTTTTGCCTGGTGTGGAAACGGGCGCTGAGCACCCAGTCTGTGGCAGCGGGCAGCACTGGGGGTGCTGGGGGCTGGCTGGCGAGCAGGTTGGGGTGGCAATTCCCATCCCTGTCCCCTGTTATCCCTACACACGGGGCTGCCGAGCGAGCGGGGGTGCCCCGGGGGTGCACGCCGGCCGTAACGCTGGCACCCAGGGCCGAGCTCACAGCTCTCCCAG